ACACACAACACACACATAAAACACCAACAAACACAACACACACACACACACACACACACACACACACACACACACACACACACACACACACACACACACACATACACACACACACACCCACGCACCGCGCGCAGCGCACCACACAATACACACACACACACACACACACACACGTGCACGCACAGTATGCAAGCACCCTATCATCTCCGTCCGTGTATACAGCAGGCCCTCATTCCGTGGGTCCTCTACCCCGCCTCAGCTGGATATGGGGCGCACGCACGCACGCACGCACGCACGCACGCACGCACGCACGCACGCACGCACGCACGCACGCACGCGCACAGTTAATGGTTAATGTGATTGTATTGATGGGATACTGCGTAGCAGCAGCATCGCTCACATCTCATCCAATCTGTCACAGGAAAGACGCCGCCGCGGCGACCGTTGCCCTTTCTCCCCCCGTCTCTCTCTCTCTCTCTCTCTCTCTCTCTCTCTCTCTCTCTCTCTCTCTCTCTCTCTCTCTCTCTCTCTCTCTCTCTTTTTTCTTTCTCTCTCTCTCTCTCTCTTCTCATTCTCGTGCTGGCCAGCTTTCTCTCTTCTCTCTCTTTCTCATCTCTCGCTCTCCTCTCTGCTCGCGCTCTCTACACTCTCTTCGCTCGCTCGCGTCTCGTTCTCTTCGCACTCGCAGCGCGGCCTTTTCGCTTTTTCTCTCTCATCGTCGGACGTGCCTCTCATCTCTCTATTCTCTCTTTCTCTCTCTCGTCTCCGCTCTCGCTCTTTCTCCGCTCTCTCTCTCTCTCTCTCGGCGCGGCCTCTCTTTCTCCTATCTCGCTCTCTCTCATCTCTCTCGCTCTCTCGCCTATTTCTCTCTCTTGCCCCGTCTCTGCGTTGTCCTTTCTTTCTATTGCCCTCTCTCTCGCCCTCTCTCTCTCCCTCTCGATCTCTCGCTCTCTCTCTCTCTCTCACACACGCTCGCGCGCGACGCGTAGATACTGAACAGATATAGCGTGGACAGCAGGGATGTGCGAACCCCAGACAGCAGTACGGGAACATCAGTGTTGTCATTGACACCGCACACCACCTACCCCAGCCCGCCACCTCCCCCAACTACACCACCTCCCCCGTGCCGCCCCACTCGCGCCCACCCCCCCACAATTACCCACCTCCCCGCCGACCTCCCACACCCGTCCCTCCGCCGCTCGTACAATCCGCCACCCTAACGCCTAACCCGTACCTCTGCTGCTGACGCGTCGTCGCTGCGCACTGTCTCAGCTCTCTCGCGCCACTCGACCGACTACTTCTGCTACTACTCGTCGCTGCCACTGTCTCTCGCCCTCGTCTCGGCCCTCACTCCCACCACTACTTCCTGCTGCTACGTCGTTCGCTGCCACGTGTTCTCTTCTGCGCCCCCACTCCACCACTACTTCCTGTGCTGACCGCGTCGCTGCGCTCACTGTCTCTCTCTCTACACCGCCGACTCCAGCCACGACTTCCTGCTGCTACCGTCTGTCCGCTGCCACTGTCTCTCTCTCTCGCCCCCACTCCACACTACTTCTGCTGCTACCGTCGTCGCTGCCACTGTCTCGCTTCTCTCGCCCTCACTCCACCACTACTTTCCCTGCTGCTACTGTCGTGCCGCATGCCACCACAACCAAGCTCGCTCTATCACCCCCACTCCACCACTACTTCCCTGCTGCTACCGGTCGTCCTGCCTGTGTCTCGCTCTCTCTGCCCTCACTCCACAACTACTCCTGCTGCTACCGTCGTCGCTGCCGACTGTCTCTCTCTTCGCCGCCCACATCCACCAACTATTCATGCTGCTACCACGTCAGTCAGCTGCCAGACTGTCTCGCTCTCTCGCCCTCCACTCACACTAACTTCTGCTACTGCTAAGCGTCCGTCGCTGCCACTGGTTCGCCTCTTCACCCCACTCCCCACTACTTCCTGTGCCTACGTCCGTCCGCTGCCACTGGTCTCGCTCTCTGCCCTCACTCACCACTACTTCCTGCTGCTACCGTCGTCGCTGCCACTGTCTCTCTCTCTCCGCCCCACGCCACCATACTTCTGCTGCTCCGTCGTCGCTGCCACTGTCTCGCTCTCTGGCCACATCCACCATACTTCTGCTGCTAGACCTGCTCGTCGCTGCCACTGTCTCTCTCTCTTCGCCCCCACTCCACCACTACTCTGCCGTGCATGCTACCGTTCGTCGCGCACTGTCTCTCTCTCATCGCGCCCACTCCAGCCATACTTCCTGCTGCTAGCCGTCGCTCGCTGCCACCACTGTCTCTCTCTCTCATCGCCCCCACTCCACCCACCTACTTCTGCTGCTAGACGCCGTCGCTGCACTGTCTTTCATTCTCGCCCACCACTCCACCACTACTTCCTGCTGGCTACGCGGTTGTCGGCTGCCGACTGTCTCTGCTCTCTCGCCCCACTCTACGCACTACTTCCTGCTGCCTACCGTCGTCGCTGCCACTGTCTCCTCTCTCTTCGCCCCCCACTCCACCACTACTTCCTGCTGCTACCGTCGTCGCTGTCACTGTTCGTTTCTCTCGCCCCCCCATCCCACTATACTTCACTGGCTACCCGCTCGCTCGGCGGTGCGCATGTCGCTGGCTACTGTTCTCGTCTCGCCCCCACTCCACACTACTTTCCTCGCTGCTAAGCGTCGTTCGGTGCCACTGTCTCTCTCTCTCATCGCCCCTTCCCATCCACCATACTTCCTGCTGCTACCGTTCGCGCTGTCACTATCTCTCTCTCTCGCGCCCCCCACTCCACTATTCTTACTTTCCTGCTGGCTACGTCGTCGCAGCCACTGTCGTCTGTCTCTCAGCCCCACTCCACCACTACTTCCTTGCTGCTACGCGGCCGTCGCTGCACTGTCTCGCTCTCTCACCCAACTTCCACCACTAACTCTGCTGGCTACCGTCCGTCCGCTGCCAACTGTCTCTCTCTTCTCGCCCCCACTCCACACTACTTCCTGCTGCTACCGATCGTCGGCTGTCCCCATGTCTCTACTCTCCTCGACCCACTCCACCAACTACTCTTCCTGCTGTACCGTCGTCGCTGCCACTGTCTCGCGCTCTCGCCGTCACTCCACCACTACTTCCTGCTGCTGTACGTCGTCGCTGCCACTGTCTCGCTCTCTCGCCCCCACTCCACCACTACTTCCTGCTGCTACCGTCGTCGCTGCCACTGTCTCGCCCTCTCGCCCCCACTCCACCACTGACTCCTGCTGCTACGGTCGTCGCTGCACTGTCTCGTCTCTCGCTCCCACTCCACCACTACTTCCTTGCTGCTACCTTCGTCGCTGCACCTTGCTCTCGCTCTCTCGCCCCTACTCCACCACTACTTCCTGCTGGCTGACCGTCGTTCCGCTGCCACTAGTCTCGCCTCGTCTCGCCCTTCACTCCGCACCACTACTTCCTGCTGCTACCATCGTCGCTGCCACTTGTCCGCTCTCTTCGCCCCCCACTTCACCACTCACGTTCCTTAGCTGCTACCTGTCGTCGCTGCCCACTGGTCTTCCTCTCTCGCCCCACTCACCACTACTTCTGCTGCTACGTCGGTCGCTGCACTGTCTCTCTCTCTGCCACCACTCCATCACTCTTCTGCCTGCCCACCGTCGTCGCTTGCCACTGTCCTCTTTCTCGCCCTCACTTCCACCCCTACTTCCTGCTGCTACCGTCGTCGCTGCCACTGCTCTCTCTCTCTCGCGTCCACTCCACCACTACTTCCTGCTGTACCGTTCGTCGCTGCCACTGTCTACTCTCTCTGCGCGTCCACTCACACTATTTCCTGCTGCTACCGTCCTGCGTCGCGTGCCACTGTCTCGCTCTCTCGCCTCCACTCCACACTACGTTCCTGCTGCTACCGTCGTCTGCTGCCACGTGTCTCGCCTCTCTCGCCCCCACTTCCACCACTACTTCCTGCTGCTACCGTGTCGCTGCACTGTCTCGCTCTCTCGCCCCCACCTCCACCACTACTGCCTGCTGCTACGTCGTCGCTGACCACCTGTCTCGCTCTCTTCGGCCCCCACTCACCACTACTTTCCTGCTGCTACGTCTGTCGCTGCCACTCGTTCTCGCTTGTCGCTCGCCCCCACTCCACCACTACTTCTGGCGGCCTACCGTCGTCGCTGCCACTGATTGTCTCGCTCATCTCGCCCCCACTCCACCACTACTTCCTGCTGCTACCGGATCGTCGCTGCCACTGTCTCGCTCTCTCGCCCCACTCCTTACACTTATTGCCTGCTGCTACCGTCGTCGCCATGCCACTGTCTCTCTGCTCTCTCGCCCCCACTCCACACTACTTCTGCTGCTACGTTCGTCGCTCGTCACGGTCTCGCTCTCTCAGCACCCCCACTCCACCACTATTTTCTGCTGCCTACCGTTCGTTCGCTGCCCACATGTCTTCGCTCATTAAAATTATATATCATATAGAGAGATATAGATAGATATCACACTCATCATATCATCCCATCGCGCGTGTTCAGGAGAGACCAGAGGCCGGAGGAGAGAATGACTGACCAGGGCAGGGACGGACTGGACCACGCCCAGCAGCCGGACTACGACGCAGACGACAGCAGTCCGAGTCCGCGCAGTCCGGACAAAGCCGGATTCTTCGAGTACAGCCAACAACAGCAGCAGCAGAGCAGCGCCAACGTCCGCTCGGTTGCCCAGCAACGCGAGAGCGAGGCTCGACATCAGCGGTCCGTTGCGCAGCAACGCGAGACCGAGGCTAGGCATCAGCGAGCGTCTGCGCTCCACGAGCAGCAGCAGCAGCAACAACAACAACAACAACAACAACAACAGCAGCAACAGCAGCAGCAGCAGCAGCAGCAGCAACAACAACAACAACAACAGCAGCAGCAGCAGCAGCAGGGCAGCAGTAAGAGCGAGACACGTACCAGCAAGACTACGAGTCACGTCACCAGAGGGCAGACCCAGCACTCGCAGAGGTGAGCGCCTTGCGCATGCGTATGACGTAGAGCCGATGGATACATTTTTATAATCATTTCCATTAATTTTAATTTGATTAAAATTAAACTGCGTTTTTTTTTGGTTAAATGAATGAGTCGATGTTATGATGTTGATATAATCATCTGCGTTGCCTAGGCAACAACAACAGGACAACGACGAGTGGGAGACGGCGCAGACGATCGACCAGCAGCCGCCGACGGTGGCGCCACCAGCGCGACAGCCGATCCCCGCCGCGCATGCGTCGTCGTCGTCTGCGAAGCACGCGTCGTCGGCTCGCCAGAACGACACGAGAACGAAGACGACGGAGACGAGGCACGTGACCAGCAATACTCAGCAGCAGCAGCAGCAGCAGCAGCAGCAGCAGCAGCAGCAGCAGCAGCAGAGGGACGCCATCACAGTGGCGGATGAGTTCAACGCTCGGCCGCTCAGTCCGAGTCTGAGTCCAAGAAACCCGACTGGACCGTTCGGTAAGGCGCGATGTGCGACTGGCGCTATCTAAGCGAATAGATGCACTAGATAAATATTTGACGTGCAACGGAGCAACGCGAATTGAATGAGGAAACGCGATCAAAGTCATTGATTTTAAACGAAAATCAAGTTATTGAGTTTAAAGTGACTTACGTACTGTGTAGAGTGTAAAAGTATCAGCTATATGTATATATATATATATATAGATAGATAGATAGATATATATA